TCAATCTATGTCTATTGCATAGTTCATGAAAAGACACAAAAATTGGCAGAGCAAAAAGCAGTCAAAATGTAGGAAACAGAATTGATTTTTATTTTCTTATATCAATCTATAAGTCATAATTTCAGTTAAAAATTTTTTTTATATCTAAAAATGGTAAACCTCAGAGAATTAAAAAAATCTATTAGCTGATACCAAAAAAAGATATAAGTACAAAGAGGAAGCAAATAATTCCATGACAGTAAGGCTTTAAAATTATTAAAAACAAATATCAAGATAATTATCAACTTAGATATAAAAATTATTAAAATTGACCTTTCTCAATGCTGTCAAAAAACACTTGTGTATACCCACCTCATTTTAGGCTTGGGAACTGTGTTTCTTCACTTTCTAAGACACACTTTCAGGCAAGAGACCTTATAGAGTAGAACCCTCATAAGAGTCACATGCTATAAACTCTTTAAATTATGCAAAAGAACCAGAAAGGGTCAGAATAATTATCCTCTTTCCATAAGAAAGAAGACTGGGTTGGGAGTTACGAAACCTGAATCCCAGATAAAATTAATACTGGACCTTAAAAACTAGTCACTTAACATCTCTGTAATTCTTTTCTCTCCTGAAAAATGGCTAAAGAGATGCTTATTCCTTTTTCCTACCCAATGAATGAAGGTCAGACAGCATGTTTTACTCATACTTTCTTTACCCTCAACATTAGCGTTACAGTTTTTGATTATGCATTTATAATTTGGAAATAGTCAAGAACCCTGGACCCGTGCTGCAATATTAATCAAAAGAAGCAAAGCATCAGTACTTTCAGTTTAAATGACAGCATACTGGATAATCAGATGACGTACCTTTTGCTCAGACCCGCTGGAGCCCTCTTCTTCATGTAGGTTAAGCCTTGGCTTGCCGTCTGCGGGAGAAGTCCTACTCATCTTTTTCACACTGACAGGCACACAGGGTTTAGGCTCTTCTATTACAAACTTGCTGGTTTCTTCTAGAGATTTCTGATATGCTGCTAGTGATGATGCTGGCTCCTCAACACGACCAGATCCGTGTATTTTGGGTTTCAGAGTTTCCTTAGCACTCTGTTTCCCTACATCATTTTGAGATTCTGGAAAGTAAGATTTTGTCTTTGCTTCTGGAGTGAGCTCCACATGGCTTCCATTTGCTTCAAATTTTCCAGATTCTCCTTTGAGATATGAGGTAATGGAATCTCTACACTGGTCAGGGCTGCAGAAGATAAAATGCGGAAATTTACAATGGTAACATATGGCTGAAAATGGGCTTCACAAGCTCTAAATTTTTAACAACCATGTGTTTAACTAGTTTTGAAGGCGTAAAGTAGAAAGGCATGAAAAATCTGGTCACTGGATTTCAAACTCTGAGGAGCGCTCATGGATGTGGATATGGGGGTGAGGAGGTGATACAGGCTCCAGGCATCCCCAGCACTCCAACTCCCAACTTGGAGAGCTATGCTGTCACTGTGTTTTGTTTAACTGCACTTATACAGCTACTTGGATTCTCCATCTTCAAAAGTAATCCTGAGAGGTTCATGGACATACCCAGAGTTCTAGACCCACCAATCTAAAAGAGGAGGCTATCTCAAAATGCTTTTATATTGCCAGTGAAAAAACTGCTGACAAAGAACAAAATGAATTCCCGTGATGAGAGCTCTGGCATCCCCAAGAACTCCAAAGTCCAGTCTTTGTATATGTTTCCAGTTGTGAATCCTGCAGTCATGCTTTTCCAACCGTAATCCCCTTACTTGGTTCTTATCTTTCTCCAGTCCTGACCTCTGCTGACTCTCACTGGTGAACAGGGGGTTGGTGCTCACCTGTTGTTTCTGCTTCCTCTGAGAACTGTGTTCCTTTCAACTATTAAAAATCCTTCTCTTCCAACACTTTCTTTTAAACTTATTTCTAATTTTTACTAGTTTCAGGATAGGCTTCTATTTTATTTTGTAGCTTGTGTATTGTTTTTAGTGTCTTGGCTTATTACCTGTAGACTTCTGAAGGCAGTAACTAGAATAATATTTTACATGTATAATATATATACTATGTATACATATGTAAGTGTGTATGTATGTATTCTTATAAATCAAATTCTGATTATCTAAACATATTTATAAAAAAAAATCAATAGCACCCTATTCTGTATGTGTAAGAATAAATAGTCCCAGCATACTGTGAAAATCCTATAACATATTTCCTGCTGTGCAACAAAAATTGTGACTATATCTGAACATAGACATCAAAATTAGTGCTACTTGTTGTCTTTGCAATTCTCTTTGGTAGGTTGAACATAGAATACTTTAATGCTACCATTCTTCAAAAGGAGTTTTGTAAACTCCTCTTTGGGAATTTTTATCGAGCAAGAAGCTTATCAGCAATATGAAAATATTAAATATGGTTATGAAATAACCTCAGTTTTTTTGGTTTTGTTCTGTTTTGGCTGAGGAAGGTTTGTCCTGAGCTAGCCTCTGTTGCTAATCTTCCTCTTTTTGCTTGAGGAAGATTTGCCCTGAGCTAACATCTGTGCCAATCTTCCTCTTTTTTGTATGTGGGTCACTGCCACAGCATGGCTGCCAATGAGTGGTATAGGTCCACACCCAGGAACTGAACCTGGCTACTGAAGTGGAGTGTACTGAACTTAACCACTAGGCCACAGGGGTTTTCTAATCAACTGGAAAAGAGTAGGGGCTGGCCCCATGGCCAGGTAGTTAAGTTTGCACGCTCTGCTTCAGTGGCCCAGGGTTTCGCTAGTTCAGATTCCCCACATAGCACAACCAGATGCACTCACAACTAGAATATATAACTGTGTACCGGGGGGCTTTGGGTAGAAGAGAAAAAAAAAGATTGGCAACAGATGTTAGCTCAGGTGCCAATCTTTAAAAAAAAAACAAAAAGGGGGCCGACCTTGTGGCCAAGTGGTTAAGTTCACGTGCTCTGCTTCGGTGGCCCAGGGTTTCGCCAGTTCGGATCCTGGGCATGGACATGGCACCACTCATTAGGCCATGCTGAGGCAGTGTCCCATATGCCACAACTAGAAGGACCCACAACTAAAATATACAACTATGTACTGGTGGGATTTGGGGAGAAGAAGAAGAAGAAGAAGAAGAAAAAAAAAAAAGAGATTGGCAACAGTTGTTAGCTCAGATACCAATCTTTTAAAAAAAAAAAAAAGAGTAGTTTTCTAAAGTAAAGAGAACATATAAATGAACGTATAAATCTTTGGCTGGTATGTAAAACTTTTTGCATTTTACTTCAGGCTATCAATAGTTCTAAGAATTATATTTGAGTTTAGGGTAACTTTCCCTCTCCAGATTAGTAGAATGAACCAACCTTTAAAGCAGGTATTATCCCAAAACTAGAATTGTAATTTAGAAAAAGAGTAATTGCTAAGAAGCATATATTTAAAACAAACTATTTACATGTAAACACATGTAACTTGTGTTTCACTTTCCTTTTTCTGAAGCAGAGCCATACCTGTCATCCATTCGATCTAGTAACCCACCAATTATTCTTCGAGCTTGAGCCGGGGACTCTACGTTTCCACTTGATGTCTCGTTCTGCCAACCTGTAATTGAAGACATTTCCAGTTCTGCTTGCTGAACATGTTTAAGAATAGCCTGTACTTTTTCTTCTGTCATCTCCTCAGACTCTACTCCTTCTTCAAGTTGAATGTCCTCAAACAGAGATTTGAGTTTTTCCTCCGTCATCTCCTCATCAGGACCAGATTTTCCTTTCTCTTGCTGCTCAGAGCTTACTCCTACTTTTCTAGTCTGTTTCAATGATTCTGCTGGTTTAACATCTTTTGGGACCCCAGCCATACTTCCGAGGTATTGAGGATACTCACTCAGATATACATTCTCCAACTGGCTCTCATCTACATCCACTGCTTCAGGCATTTCTGTTAAAGGCATTGAGTCTTCAAGTTTGCTGTCTTCTAAGGAAGTGTCTTCTGCAGTTACAACTGGAGGTCCATCTGCTGAATGTTCTATGTTTCCCTGGGAAGGCACTAGCCCATCACTCAGTCTACTGGGGGTTCTAAGGGGAGATTCTATACTAGAGATATCACTAAAATAATCATCTTGCTGGAAAGGGGTGGGTGGTGTGTAGTGCAACCCTGTGGGAGTTTCCAGTTCCACTTGAAGGGAAGGATAACCTATGGAAGACAGTACATTTGGACTGACTGGAATGAATTAGAGTACATCAAACAAAAACACATGGAATGACAAATTATATCAGGTATGAAAATGTAATGATGAATTACAGAATAATGATAAATTTATTGGTTTAGTTCAATTAAATGTAATACAATGAAATAAAAGACTAGTGCAAACTATAATAAAATAGAATACTAATTAAGATATAGATTGTTTCCATCAATTTTGGTAATTTTAATACAGTAACTTAAATACACAGACTAATTTAATCTGATATAAAGTTAGTTGTCATTATGTAAGATACATTTACTCCATGGCCAAATTTATTATCTTTCTACTTTTAGCATGCAAAATCCATACTGTGGTGGACTGAATAGAGCAAGCCACAAGAAACCAATTTTTATAATTAATAACATAACTTATTTTAAGAACTGTACATATAAGCAATACTATCCAACTCTAGTTCTTACTTATTTCACATGAAATTTACAGCAAAAAAATGAATTTCATCTTTGGAAAGAAATTATTATTAGATTTTGGAGCAGTAGCACTGGGGAAAAAAATCTGAAAAGGTGTTAGGAAAAGGATTTAAAAAGCAGATAAAGTAGAAAAGACTCCATGTAAAGTTTTCAGGTGTCATAATGTGACAGAGATGAAAGGGTTGTGGTGTATATGGAGGTCTTAGTAAACTTAGTGATAGGGGTCCACTCAGAACCACGAATCAAATAAAGAGAAAAAAGAAATGATACACAACAGAGACAGGAAGAAAACCGTTTGCAAAGAGCTCTCTGAATATTCACGACAATGCTATGAAACATGGAGGTTTATTAACCAGCCTACACAAAGGGGAAGGAAGGAGCAATTCTCTTGTTTGAAACTTTGCTGCATGGACTAAGGGAGTATTTTTCTTCATCAGCAGAGAGAAAAGTCAACAAAGGTCTGGTCATGGTGAGGAAAGGAAGTTTCACAAAAGTTCAACGAAGAGGAGAGACAGGAAAAGAAAGGCAACTAAGCACATTTTCTGAATTATTGGTCTATAAAGCTAAAGCCTAATTTTTCTATCAGTCCAAGGTAAATATCAACTTCGGTATTGTTGTAAATTCAAATTGCTATAGGTAAGTGAACATTTTTCTGTTATGGTCACCTCTAAACCAGAATCTTGCTGAAAACTTGGCTAAGATTAGCTGAGGTTCGTAATCTGCACAAGTGAACTTTACTTCATACACACATCCCTAAATTTGCCTCAGAATTTTTAAAATGAGGAATATAAAATATTAAGATGTAGTAACAAAAAACTCTTGTGAATTTATTAATGATATTTTGATTTGTAAATGTTAAAATTAAATGAAGTTTTCAATTCCATTGAATACTTCCATTTTTTCTAGTGATCTTGTTTATTAGAGCTACTTTTCTTAAAAAATTTTTCCCAATAAAAAATATTAAAAGATTCTATAAAGTATAACTTGGCAATAATACATAATATGATATTAACACTAGTCTATCTTTATCTAGTGCAAAAAGAGTTTGGTTACCAATATATGGTCTCACATATAAGCCAGGCCTTGAAGAGAGCTTTTTTCCAAGGTTCTATGGTATTTATAAACTTAAAAAGAAAACACTTTTGACATTATTACCCATCATATATATGTTATGTGGATAACAAGGTATGCTTTAAATTTTCTGTTGATTTTAACTTTAGTAAGCAGAAACTGTTTAAGAATTTGAGATCTTTTGTCATATAACATATGCACAATTAGGAGTTATTGATTCTTGTTAGTCTAACTTTGCCAGTTTAACAATGGAAAAAATTGCCATATTTTTCAAAACTTGAAATAGTAGAAAAATATCCCTAGCTCCTCTTCCTGCCTTCATACCATCATCGACATTTTTTGCTCAAAATTCATTATAGGAATAAATTTCCATTTGTGAAGGAAGACGAGCATCTTGAAAAACATAGTAAGATATTTGTTATACTTTTCTTAATACTTTGATGAAAAAGCCCCAATTTACATAATGAAGATGACATTATATAAATTAAACTAATGTGAAAGAGGAATTATTATGTTATTAGTGACATCTATGCTCATTGAATTAGATTATGTTGCCTTTTATATACGATAGACAAAGTAGGGTTTTTCTAAACAATAGTAGCATATGAACTTAAAATAATGCTAAATAACTAATACACTTTTTGAGTATACATTAGACTTTTTCAGTACACACTTTAATAGTTGATCCCCAAAGAGTAATTCACCATTTTACTTAACAATTTGTATACTATATGCTTAAACTTGACCTAATACTTGCTATTGGCAAAAAGAGCTTACACTTTGGTTTTACTCATATATGAATAAAGTTCACTAGTTTTTTAGGTTAATATGAAAATGACAAAAGCAATGCATCTCTAGATATTAAGTTTTCTTCTATTTGGTCATATTAAATATTTGAAATACCAACTCTTTTAGTTAACTCATGCTTTTGTACCTCATTTTTCATAACTATTTTATATAAGTTTGTCTAGAGTTTATAAAGGTTGTTCTATCAGAGTGTTTATTTGCAGACTCTGGCAGAGAAAATGTTGTGAAAATGAGAAATTAAGTCAAGCAAATCACAAGTCAGTTGGTTTTAAGTGACTGCTTTGTTCTACTGCACTTTTGAATTTTATCAAATGATTAAATAAATATGAACACTAAATTCAATTACCATCAACAGGGTCATGGAAAACATTGTTCTCATCTGCAAAACTTCTGGTGCCTGAAATATTTCCATAATCAAATATTGGTCCTTCTAGCAGAGTCACTATATCTATTCGATTAATTTTTGTCAAGACCGAAGTTAAGGCATCAGCTGAAAAAGGAGAAAAAAAGGTTGAAACTCCAATTAAATTATTTTCTTCCAGTCATCACAATATCCACACAAAGGCATGGCTTTCTTGCCCCTCTTGTCATTTTCACTCCTCCAAATCTGCAATATCCCTCTCCAGAGGGCTCAGAAAGCTCGCTGCTTCAGGGACGACCGGTTACGGGCTTAAGAATCACTTTGTGAAGCTGTGTGTGATGACAGCAACATTCACTCCACCGTAAAAGGCAGACCAGATGGGCTTCAAAATAGCTAGACTCTTTTTAGTTATAAGAGGATCTAATAAAATTTTAAAATGTTCCTCTCCTTTTAGACTGTCAAACTGGGTCACCCTCATATTTGATGCTTAGCATTTTAATGACTTACTAAGGTCAGGCTGACACAGGCAAACCCACAATAACTTAGTCCACATTGTCATGGGTTGGCACTTGTCACCGTATAGCACCACTCCCCTCCCACCACCCCAAGAAAACTAAACAAAACCCAACAATATTAGGGAATTCTCTGCCACTACAGACCAAGCTGAATAAAACGATTTGATCCTAGAATTTGATTTTGTCCTTCTCTCTCTACCTACCTGCACATCCATCTCGGGCTATAGCAGTAACGTCACAGTCTTTCTGACTACCACCCCCATGATTTAACAGCTAAAACTGTATTTTTATTTTTGATGGTCACAGAGAGAACTACCGATAAAAATGAAAAAAATTCTCTACTACTTGCCTTCTAAAAAGCTAGTTCCTAAAGACAGTTTAGGATGTTAGCATAAATTAAACAAGTATAATTTCAAAAGACTTGCTATTACTTTATGATCACTCTGATTTTGTTAACAGTAGGCTTATTTAAAATATTGGATATATGCAGTTTTGAAAGTTAAAGTAATATAATTTCAGCATACTTGTAGCATTTTTTCCGTCTCTGGTAACCCATTTTTTTAATAACATGAAGCTTTGAGAAATTAAAGAATTTGGATTTTCCACACGTATTTGATTGATTTCATCCACTGAAAAATTCAGTTCCCTTGCCAGTTCTGTAGAAAAGAAAAAGAGTTACTAAGATTTCATATTTTACTTTTATCACATATATTTCATAAAAGTAATGCTGAACTGCCACAAAAAATAAAAAGGAAAGGAATTTTATAGTAAAACCCAAGTACAGCCGTGGGCATTAATCTTTATACACTTGATCTCTTGATTTCACAGGAATGTGGTGATCATACACAGGCTGTGATATAATTCTCCTGAGGTTATTACTTAGTTACAATCAGATTCCCTTTAGAGATTATTTCATAAAGATTCTTGATCTGTACAAAGAGGATGTTGCTGGATTCTTTTAATGCAGCCAAATTATTCTCTGCAGTTGAGCAAACTTCATACAAGATAGTAGGGATATACAATTCATAAATATGGCACAAGAGATGCTGGTAGGATTTTCCCTAAGCAATCTTCACGAAGTACATCATTTATGCACATAATATTCTACTCTATATGCCTCCAAGTTTCATGAACTCCACTTAGGAGGTTAAATGATGACTCCAGGCTAGATCATTGTCTCTCATATGCTGCCACCTGTGTGAAAAATAAAAGGGAGATAGGTTTCTGTCCTGCTAAATGTGTATACCTATACACTCGATCCTGTAAATGCAGAGAGTGTCTTTAGAAAGACACATATAATGTGACTATTAGTGGCTGCCTGTGGATAGGGAAACTTAGGAGTCAAAGATGAGAAGGAGACTTAGTTTTCACTGTATATTTTTTGTACAATTAAAAATATTTATCAGGTGTGTATTACTGTAAATGATTATAAAAAGTAAGAAATAGGAAAAAATTTTCCCATGGAAAAGCAATTGGTCAAGATTCTCTCCAGCTTAAGAAATATTTCCAGCAAGCTCAAAAAAGTCCATATCCTTTGACCAAGTGATTTCACTTGTGGAAATCTATCGTGAGGATACACAGGGTTGTACACAATGATTTACAAACATGAATGTTCACTGTAGGCTTGTACTGCTGAAAAATTGAAAAGACTCCATGTGTTGAACAAAAGGAAAGCAGTTAATTAATGTAATGCACTGGCTTGCAAACTGCTTTGATCAGGCCTACAGTTAGAAATACATTGTAGATCATGGTGTTTATATAAATGAACCCAGATCTTCACGGAGCAAAATTTAGCCTTAATACATGTAATACACAGACATTTTCTTTTCCATTCTATTCCATTTAAAAACAAACACAAAGCATGGATTGGATTCCTGACTCACTAGTGCACTGTCACCACTGTAGAGGATGTCTATTAGATGTGATTGATCCATTAAAACCAACATCAGAGAATGGTAAATTTTGTATAAACTATGTAATTACAAATAAAAAAGCAGAAAATTACATTGCGTATATAACATTTTAAAAGCTTTATATCAAATAACCAAAGCACATGAAGATGTTAACAGTGGTTCTGAGGGTCAGATTTAAATTTTGTTCTACATGCTAATTTTCCTAATAATCTTCACTGAGCATTTGTAATACAAATTAGAAAAGTTCATTTTTTAATTTTTTAGAGTTCTTTATCTCTTTGTGTTTTAAGAGACTACTCCTTACTGCCCAACAAACCGTCATAACCAAACTCTATCCTTTGTCTGGAGACTCAGTGGGGAGCAAAGATACACTGTCACTAATAATTTTAGTTTTATGACTTTGTCTTGCTATTCTTTTTTTTCTTTTTAGGAAGATTAGCCCTGAGCTAACATCTACTGCCAGTCCTCCTCTTTTTGCTGAGGAAGATTGGCCCTGAGCTAACATCAGTGCCCGTCTTCCTCTACTTTATATATGGGATGCCCGCCACAGCATGGCCCGATAGGCAGTGCATAAATCTGCACCCAGGATCCGAACCAGCGAACTCTGGGCTGCCAAAGTGGAGCACGCAAACTTAACCGCTGCGCCACTGGGCCGGCCCCTGTCTGGCTATTCTTATGTCACATCTTCTTCAAAAATTTACTCTGATAAAGTAAGGACTGGATTTGCTTCAGGAAAATAATCTAATACTTATGGGCATGTAATACCACAAAATCAATATTTGCTCCAGTATATTTTCAGATTACCAGGTCCAATGTTAAAATATTACTATTAATTTTATGTTAGCAAATATTTATACATAAGGAATTGCTATTAACTCTCAACAACCTGCAAAGGATTACTCAGACCACCTGTCTTTTCAGAGTTCCACTAGGCTTCTGGTCATCAGCAGTATGCCTGAGAGCAGGTACTGGGTGGAAGGAGAGAGAGGGTTGAACATGTGGGGGAGACTTAGGGCATTCAGAGGAAGAAAATGCAGATGACCTGTTGGCCATTATCTACTTTCATATTCTCCCTTTTAATAGCATAGATCATTGTTTCTCTGAGTACAGAAGGTATGTCACTGATGGTATGCAAGATGACTTTCAATGTGACAATAATTAACATTTATTTTTTTTAACTATTATGTTTTTTGGCTGTGCATTAGATAAAATACATTCAACCTATAAAAGAAAATTTCTCTGATTCATGGAAGGTAGGATTTCAGGGGCCAAGTTAACATCAAAACCACAAAGCAGAATTGTCTAATTGACACAGAACCTTATCTTCATCTTTAATGAAGCTAAATCAAGCCAAATATTCCTTTTCTACACACTGATCATAAAGTTTGATTCATTTCACAGAACTCAACTACTTTCGTAAATTGAATAGATTTATTTATGTGTATCCTATTTTTAAAAATTTTAATTCAAAATTTAAACTTACTGTCACCCTTTGTTTTCCTGTTACATAGTGAAAATGATGTTGTTATGATATATCTTGTTATATAGTTAGTGAAATGATCTACCTTGTTAGATAGTGAAAATGATCCTTGTTTTCTATTATCAAAGTGATAAAGATTTCCTTTTAAATAAATCTTTAAGCATAAAAGTGACTCCACTTAAAGAAAAGTATCAGGTAAATAAATATACAGATAATATGTGTATATCAAAAATTGTGACAATGACTCATGAATGATCAAAATGTGTGAAACTTAGGCATGGATTAATTGAACTGTTGCCTAAGAGAGGTGTTCTAAGGGCATAAACCATATTTAAAATAGTGGATTATTTAAAAATCATAGGCCTTAGCCATGTTTTCCTTTATGCCACAAAACAAATTTGCTATTAGGTAAAAATCCTATGTTATTAGAAATGGCATTGTGAAGAAAATGTTTCAATTTAAGGTGAAATTAATATTTAAATTCCTATTATTTAGTGTATACGCATCAAAAAAGCTTTGAAAAACACAGTATCCAAGGTTTTATCAGTAATTATCTCTAGGTAGATAGAATTATGGGTAATAGAAACAAATAATGAGTAAAAAAACCTTTCTGTTTCTCTGGTGATGAACCGCCTGGGAGTAAGACAGAGAAATTAAGAAAGTGTATTTGTTTCACTCAGGAGTGTACACACTTACCTGTCCAACTAAGTCCCAGGTGATCGGCTACTATTGCCATCCTGATATCTGTCCGTTCACATGGACTCTGTGGACCTACGATTTACAATTTCTTAATTAAAATAATCATCAAGAAAGAGACGATACTGGAAAATTGCTTTTAGCAGTACTCAGATTTTACAGAGAGACTAATGCTAACACTGTACACTTAAATGTGTCCTAATCACCTACATGAACACTGCTCTTTTCACACGGCTCACTTGATTTCACCTGCATCAGGCCAGATGTCAGACTACATGGATGCTCAATGTAATGGAACTGAACATGCTGACGAGCTCGCTACTTTACAACAGTTACAGGGTTGTTGTGTTGGTCAAACACCATGATGGGATTTCAACATCTGTGCTTTTACTTTGACAGAATCATATCCATTAGCACATTCAAAGAAAGAAAAGTTGCTCATCTTGAATGACACCAATATCTTCAGCATGCTTCCTTAGCTATCTACAGTGTAGTTTGGTTAAAAGGCAGAAAGAAGAGTATATAGACAGCACATACAGATGACAATGACAGAATGAGAAACTACGGTTAAGTCACTCCACAGGCAATCACAACGGTTCATGCACTAGGGTCTACGAGTTGGAAAGTGTTTACAAACTATGCTCGTTCTCCAAGATGTGAGCAAAGAGTGCTCGAGAAACCTGACTGCCTTCATTCTCACCAGTCCTCCTACTGCTCCTTTTCTCACTGCCGGCCTTTTCACTCTTTGATTTTAAAGGTGCTGCCTCTGTTTTCTTATCTCTAGCAGACTTCGTTGTAATTGAAGGCTGGCCACCCCGGGAAGTCTCGGACAACGACGTGTTTCTTGAGGTACTGTCTTCCTCATCGGACACCTCGGACTGCATCTTTCTGTCTTCTTCAGAGAGGCGGTCCACAAGCTTTAAGGTCTCACCACTAATTCCCTTAAAATATTCAATGGAATGTTTACATACTTCCTTAAGCTGACTTTTCCTAACTTTAACTGTGGTAGTGGTGGTGGTGGTGGTGGTAGTGGTGGTGGTGGTGGTGGTAGTGGTGGTAGTGGTGGTGGTAACACAGGTGGATCTTACCTTTACTGGCAACTTGGATGGAAGTTGTTTGGCCTTGCCTTTCTCTGGCTGCCCTTGCTTTTGTGTGGCACATGCTTTTCTAACTGAAGCTATGTTATCCCTGTGTGTGTTTTTTACTGGAATTCTGGACTTTATATCTACACATGAAGAAGCAGCCAGCGTTTTGGTTTTCTCAGATTGACTAACCTGCTTCATTTTACTCACTTTAATGTTTGGCATGTGATTTGGTGGGAAGATATCTTTGGGTGAAGTGGCCTTTATGGGGAGTTTGGATTTTCGCCTAGTCCCTATTGATTCCTTTGTCTTTTGCTGCTCTCCAAGAACTTTCTGCTTATCTCTTACACAGTGTCCTTGCAGTACCCCTGCCTTTTTTCCTGATGAGCTTTTCACTGGATTAGCTTTCTCTGTGGTACAAGTGGGTGCAGAATGTTCTGTCAGAACTACATTATTTGTAATGTTATCTGTCTGTATAGTGGAAGAATCCAAATTGTTGTTGTTATTAAAGTTATCTTTTTGAAAATCATGTTTTTCTTGGGGCCTAATGCCCATGTGACTATTGGCTGTATTTGAAATCATTGTTATAGTTTCATTCTCTAATCCCTGACAATTGGTCATCACAGCTTCTATCTTATCTGTTACTTCTCCAGGGCCTTCTTTCTTCATGGTCATGGTAGATGCAGAGATTCCCATTTTTATAGGCGTACGCAACTTGGGGTCAACTTTAGAGGTGTTAGTGGCTGCTGCTGCTTTCTCCAGGGAGCCACTACTGGATGTGCCTTCCTGACACTCTCCGCTGGTCGGGATGCTGGGGTTAGGTTCGACTGTAGGTGCCTCTACATTTCTCTCTAGATTGGTTTCTACAGTGGTGTCCCCTGACTGTGGCTGTGGTGTGGCAGTGACCATACTTTTATCCCCTTCCCCCTGGTCCCCTGACTTCCCTTCAGAAGTATGCTCACCAATCTGGAAAAATTGGAGCCTCTCTTCAACAAAATCCCTCTTGCTCATGTCAATTGCACCACTGCGAGTCATCTCAAACATTTTTCCTTCATGAAATGGGAAGGGGTTAGGCTCACTAGTTGGGGTACTTTCATCAGTTGGCGTTCTGGCTGGCGTTGTATCAGGGGTTGTTGCTGGAGAGCGGTCTTCCACAGCCAGACCAAATGGCTTAGTTTCATCTTCCCGTGATTTACTGTCAAAAACTTCATCATCCCCTCGGTTATTAGACCAAGGGTCAAAATCTAGACCTTTGGTAGCTACTGTTTTAAAAGGAGTGGCAAATTCTTCATCTACTTTGTAACTGAAATAAGTATCAGGAAACACTGATCTGTCAGGATGTCTGCCTTCTAGTGTGAAAAACTGAGCCCCTGACTTCTGATCAGTCTTATCAGGAGTCTTTTCAGATGAAGAACTTTTAGAAGGTGGCTTATCTTCATCTGGTCCCACCCTTCCCTCCTCCTCGATAACTTCAAGTTTACTTTGGCTAAAGGAGCGATCAGCTGGCTTCAGAATGCCCTCCGTGTTCCAGATATCTTTCTTAATTTCCATGGTTTGACTTGGGAATTTGGAATCACTCTCTGTCAAGCCGTCATCTTCATCCTGCAGGTCGTAGCCATCCAGGGAGTCAATCTCTGTGGCATCTGTATCATGAGAAAACTCTGCCGTGGTGGCAATGGAACACTCTGTGATGGACTGGTCATTGTTCCCATTCTGGACCGTGTCATTCTGAGGCGAATCAAGGACAAGGCCAAATTCATTATCTTTTCCAGATCCATTAGTTTCCAGTTCTTTCTGGTTGGAAGGCTTTTCAGCAGAAGCTTTGGATTTTGTCATTCCTTTCTGCTCATCATCCACTTCCTTTAACTTGAAGGTATATTTTTTAACTGGGACAGGTTGATAAATAGATTCGTCATCGCTCGAATCACTGATGTCTGCCCCAGGAGGGACTGGTGAAGGTGGCTGCACTCTGATGACCGGTTCAGCCAGCTGGTACTTGTCATGTTCGTCTTGCAGATTGACTTCAATCATGTCCACCTCTCTTTCAGGGAGATAATGATGTTTCTTATCTGACTCCATCTGGTCTGCATCCAGCGGTGGAGGAGGGGGAAATTCAATATAGGCAACTCTGTTACTTTTAGGTCTTTGGGTAGAGTCTTTGCTCATGTTGTTAGGCATTTCCCGATCGACTGTCGTTTCCTCCACTGTAGTCTGCTTTAAGGAGGCTGACTTGGCTGGCTCCTCCTCCTCAGATTCCTCAGAAACCTCCGGAATTGGGCTGGGTTTGCCTGGTATATAAGCTATGAGCGAGTCTGGTGTCTTAGACGTAAATTCATAACTCACTTCCTCTGAACTGGGTGTTTCAGGGGTTAAAGGGCTTTTCCCAGAGCTGTCTAGAAAGGATACTTGCTCTAGAGTATCATCTTCTGGACTACCCTGGGGAGAAGGAGGCTGCTTTTGCTGTCTAGTTGTATAAAAGGTCCCCCTGGTCTCTTGTACTGTCTTACATTCCTGACTTATGATTTTTTTTACACTTCCTTGTTGTATCTCCTTTTCATATTGCTTCCCAACCTGTACAAAACTGACATAAACAGGTAAAGTTTTTATCTCTTTCCCTCCCTCTGTCTGGGCTAGTGGTGCAACTTTTTCCAATCCATCAATGGGACTGTGGTCGAATACATCACTAGAGGGAGATTCCTTTCCTGGGCTAAAGTCTAAAGAATCAGGAGATTTGGTGGGAGAGGTTTCGGTTTCATCGAGAGGCGGGCATAAGCCTATATAACTCTGATGTTTGGAAACTTTGCTGATTTCTGAATAGGTAACTTTTTCATCTTCTATAGAGTTAAAGTGCTGTGTCTCAACTGTCTCTTTACTCATCCTTGACTGGGGTAACTTTTGTGATAGTTCATGTTTTGGGAATGTCGACTGCTCACAAAAACCATCGGGAATATCAGAAGACAGCATTCTTCTTTCCTCCGCAACTCTGACTGGGATGTGCGACACCGCTGCGCTCTCGCTTCTCCTGGAAGGTTGATCGACAGATCCACCTGGATGTTCCCCTTCTTTAACAACGTATTCCCTATATAAGACTTTTTTGGAGGGAGATTTTACAGTCATTTCCTTAATTTCTGAGAGAGAGCCATTTGTTAACAATTTGTGTTCTCTCTCAGTCACAGACATAAATTCATTCCTTTCATCAACAATTTTACTTTCAGAGTGACCAATGTGATTCTCTCTTACATCATGAACAAGTACATGCGAAAGTTTTTCTTTCTGAGACTTATTGTTAGTGGCTCCAGAACTTTCCCATGTTCTAAAGACCTTTTTGTCCCATGGTCCCTTAGTTGCTAAATCTGTTACGTGACATGTCAAGTCTTTAGCCTGTTGCTCAGAAAAATAGTCAGGCATTGCTCTACTACTTGACCTTTCAGTTCTCTCTTTACTCCCATCATCAGAACCAGAATCATTTACAACAATTTCGTTGCTTTGGGCATGCTCATCTTTAGCTCTTAATACCATAAAATCTTTTTGCACAGAGACACCTTCATCTGAGAGGTCTATGGCCTTCTGCTGTTTTTCTCTAGCGAAAACTTGGTAGACAGGAAGCTTGCTCTCCTGGATTTTTTTAACTGGGATTCTGGATTGGCCATCTGGCTTTTTGTCTTCTTGAGACATGTCCTTACTTTTTGCCTGTGTGCCTTGTTCAAATTTTAATCTAATGGAACTGAGTTTGGATTGTTTGAGCTGAAACCCAGACTGGGGCCCGTCTGGTGCTTTGCTCTGTGAAATACTTCCTTTGTCTTCCTCTGTGGACTTGCTCTCCTCAGTCTGTTGGGAAAGAACCCTCTTCTCCGGGCTGCTGGGCACACTGGATACTTTCCTCTCTTCGGCTTGGGGGAAGCCTTGTCCGTCACGGCCAGGCTGCCTTGCCTTAACCCACTCATCATTGGATGCCAACAGTTCTGTTAGCAGTACTTTCTCAGGGCTGCTACTGGTAGAGCTTTGAGAAGAATATTCTTTGCCATTTCTAGGGCGAGGCTTTTTCTCTGGGGACTGCAGTTCATCATTTAGCTTTTCAGTTTTGTCACGAAAAAACTGTGACACTTCAGTCAGTTTTTCTTCAGCTTCCTTCACAGTCCTGTCCACCCTATCTTCATATATCAACTTCTCTCTACCTCTGTCTAATCTGTCCTCAGTAAAGCGCATCCACATGGCATGTTTTGGACTACTAACATCGCCAGAATAGTGCAACACTGTCACTTTATCAAAATGCTCATCTTTAGACACTTTACCTACACCATTTTCAGACACATCTTTATAGATTTTGGAGAGAATTTCTTTTTTGGGGGCAGTGACTACTTTTTCTCTGGACCGCTTATCAGACCCCTGTAACTCTGAGCTAGGGGGTCCTGTATGGTCTGTAACCGATTCCTCGGTATCAGAATGAGACACATCTAGCTTTTCTGACAGAAGCATTTTCTCAGCAAACCTGTAAGACTCCCCTCTTAGTTCTGACAACTCATCGTCATGGTATTCTATGGAGTGTTGACTCAAAAGCTTCAATGTTTTATAAGAGTCATCAGATATGAGTTGAGCAGAACTAGGGCGACTATCTTCTTCTTGGGACACAGGAGTGTTTACTCTGGAAGACTCCAGATAAGAAGGCAGGGACTCTTCAGCAGTAAGTTCTTCTTCTTCTTGCTGACCCTGTTCCTCTGAACAAGGAAAAGCATCGTGTTTTTCTGGCAGAAACTCTTTTAGGTTAATATCTCCCCGGGATAAGTCTTTCTGATATACATACATTTCCTTTTCTGGATGCTTTTTGGTTTCTCTAATAATGACTTCAGTGGGTTCAGCTTGGTTACCTTTTTCGATGTGGACTTCTATTATACGCTCCAGTTTGGGTTTCATTTGGTTGTCCTTCTCTGCATGCTGGGCTGAGGTTTCAGCAGCAGACTTGAGAACCTCTGGAGACACTGCCGACTTATGTTCAAACAGACCTGCCAGTTCTTTGGAAGGGTCCCGCCCGGACTGAAAGGCCTTCATGATGTCATGGACTGACATGGTTTCTTCAATCCTTTCAGACGCACCTTCACCGCCTGGTGGAGAATGATAAACCATTCTGGTGGTCGTGGTTATGTGAGTCTCTTCTTTAACACGCATGCCTTTGCTCAAAACTCGATTGTGGTCATCTTCTTCACTACTGGCTTTCATTTGAAATGCTTTAACTTTTTCTTTAATACTAGAAGTGGTGGGCTTTGGTTCCAATTCCATAAATGTAGGGGAAGGTTTGGGTGACACAGGCTCCTCTGGTTGGGATTGGGGAGCATCTCCAGCCGAAGGCTCATAGCTCCTGATAACATGAACCACTTCAGTTCTTGTTTCTGTAATGACAGGAGGGATGGGGACTTCATGAAAAAGTGGTTTAGGACCAGTGCTTTCAGCACTTTGTGGGGCCGAAGGTGTTTTTTCACTTCTTGTTTCAAAGCCACTGTCAGACAAGGGACTTTTATCTTGGTCATGTTGAGAAAAGTCATCTGGAGACTCTAAAATGGTATCTGTTCCAAAAAAGGAATCGGCCATTTTACATAACTCCTTCTCAGAGGTGGAAGGCCTCATGGAGGCTGGCGGCATTTTGAGTTTGTGTTCCTGCAAAGCAATTGCTGGTTTTAAAATTCTTTTCTGTTTCTCTTCACCATCCTTCTTTGCATCCTCAAACTTGTACTTTAAGTTTGTCAATGAACTACTCCCAATATCATTTGTTAGGTAATCAATAACTTTGGTCAAATTATAATCCTTTTCAGAGGCGGCTTTTGCTTTTACTTGCACTCTCTCTGGCAGAGACGGAGAAAGGCTCGCAGCAGCGTGTTGTCTTGCTTCTCTTATTTCTTCTGAACTAAATTCTATCCAGTCGTCTTCAGGAGAGTGTCCATTGTCACTCTTTGGTGATTTGGGTGGTCCTTTATTATCTACACACACGTCTTTTTTAAGAATTTCACTAACTTTCACTAAGTCTTCCTTTACTTTCTCAACAATTTTGAAAGGTTCTTCATCGTCAATTCTCCCTTCTTTTGGGAGCTCAGGTTGGAATGGTTTCTCCTCAGGCACATCTGTTTGTAGTATTGCAGTCATCCGCATTAGGTCCTCTTTCATTTCAGCCACGTCTTTTAATATCTCCTGACTGGAAGATAAAGAAGATGGTGTAGACAGCTTAAGGGCAGAAGGTGCAAGGAACAAAGACGACTTAACTGGAGATGAAGTTCGATTGAAATGGGGCTGAGGACGCGTCTCCGTAGTCAATGTTTTTATGGGTGACAGCAAGGCTGCTGCTGATTTTGTAAGTGAATTAGAGTCTGGAAGTTTCTTTAATGCTGGTTCTGGCAAAACATTGACCACAGAGTATACTGGCACTGTTATTATTGATGAAGTTACAGATGAGGTAGTTGCAGATATTGACGACCCAAGGGATGTATAGAGTGCACTTGCGGAAGGAGTTCTTAGAGACTGAAAAGCCGACGGTGCTGAAGAAACATATGACCTGAGTGGGGAAAATGGCATTGCTGTCGTGGTAGAAAACCCTTTTTCAACTGTGTCAGTGGCTGCATTAACCACAGAGCTCACAGAGTTTGTAGCTGTAGAAATTTTTTCCTGTAATGTGGCAGTGGCTTTGCATCCATTAATTAAAGTTGAAGATGATGGATATTTCAGAGGGGAAATAGAGCCGTTGACTAATGCTACCTCTGCATGTCCAGGCATCTGTTTCACAGGTGATGAGAGAGAAGAGGCCATCGTAACTTTAGCCGATGAAATGACATCAACTGCTGATTTAGCTGGAGACACTACTGACTTTAAAGGCGAAGATATTAGCGGTGCTGCTGATGTAATAATTGACTTAAATGGCAAACTTGAGGAATACATATTAATGTTTGATTTGGGGGAGGCAGGGGGTGTCATGGTAATCGATGACCTCTCCAAAAGAGACCCTGCTGTAGTCACTGGAGAGGTTCGAGAGGAAAACGTGGAGTTGGATGCCAGCCCTTTTAAAGGCGAGGCCTCTGTGACTGTGGGAGCTCTAACCAGGGTACCAGAGGAAACTTGGACATTGTATGGAGATTGTGACACCACTGTTTTTATTGGCGAAGAAATTGTCCGAAAGGATCTAATTGGAGATGCCACGTCACTAATGGATTTAACTGAAGATGTAGTTGATGCGCCTAATGTGGATTTGATTGGAGAAGGAGTCGAAACAGACCATATTGATTTTAACGGAGAAGCTGATGGCGTATTAGAGGAAGAACTTGATAAGGAAGTGAAGCCTGACTTGGCTGGCCCGGGCACCGTAATCGGAGCTGTTGTCCAGGACTGGTATGGTCTTGCAGAAAAGAATGGCTTGTATGAGTAAGTGGTAGGGAGGGATCTTGTTGCTCCTGCACTCCGTTCAACTGTTTCTTAAATTTTAAAATGAAATCAAACACAAAAATCAACAAAAATGGTTGAGAAACAGAGAGACCAGAGAAAAAAATTGGTCAGTAAACTTTGAAATATTACAAAAGCAAGTACAATTGTTTGCATGATTTAGAATGGAAGAGGCAAAAGGAACAATTAAGTAAAAGAGGAAAAAAAAAGTTCTAAGTAAGACATAGACATAACTAATCCAAAGTTAAAAAAAAAACTAAATAAATAAAAAACAGAGCAATGTGAAATGAAAGACAGAAAAAGCACATCGCAACCAAATAAGCCAACAATGAAAAATAGAAAACATGAGGAAAGAATTAATGATGAGAAAAATAACCACAATGGAAAACTGTTCCCTTACTTCCTATTGACTTTCTTATGTGCTGGTTTTGAAATATCAGTAGCCATTCTGTTTTGCCTGTATAGGTACATGTTTATTTTGTGCAACCATATAACTCTCATTTTAGTAATTTCTAATGTTCTCTCTCCTCGAACCTTTTGGTGACACAGATTGCACCTACTCATAACCATATCAGTGTGTGTAGCTAAACATTAAATATCTAAAACTCTTTTTTAGAAAGCCACTCAAGCCTATTTCATGCAGAATCCAAAATAACTTTTAAGTGACAGGCAACTGGTGTGCAAACTGTGAAGCCACTGGGTTTTAAATGTGTATCTTCCATGCACAATTCGGTTATGCTTCACACCCATAAAAAGCCAATAAGAGCAAGAAATTTTCTGAGTCAGAATTTAAAAAAAAGAAACAAAGAAAAGGAATGTTTGCATTGATCTTTTCCATGCAGTATATTCCTTTTGATGAGGAAAAAAGAAAATGTAATATGAAATGATTTAAAAATGCATATGAACACACACACAAAAGGGAAAAAAACAGAAAATATGGTTCATGGTTACCATAAGCAAGCAAAGCAACTGAAAACATTTTATCATGCGCAATATATCATGGCAAACAAGCCAATGAAGTAATACAGTTTTTATGCCATATTGTGCACAATATATAAACTTTAAAAATACTTTCACAATAGCATTTAGAAAGAAGAGTACACTTTTTCCATCAAATGTGAAGTCTTGGTACCTTTTGAGATTTTAGGAAAATATTTAATTCTGCATATTAAAAATACGTCTGCAACTAAACATATCCATGTCTGTAGCTGTCTTTATTATGGATAAAAGCACATAGTTCATCTCAGGTATTTTTTTCATAATCTATTATACTTTTAATTCTCAAAAGGTATTATGGGGAAGATCTACAAAGCACAATCATAGTTTTAACACCTCATATTTAAATATCTACAGTGGGATACAGTATATATCTGTATTTAGATTTATCAATGGCAAAGGTACCAATTCTGGTGCCTTCCCAGAATATTCATGGGCCTCATGGCTGCTCCAGTGTCTGGTAGGTAGACCTACCACTAGGAAAGATGGATTTAATACCAGCATTCTTCTCGCAATGGGACAAGAAACACACAAATGAGGTAAGCACACTCGCTGGGGAGAACAAACACACACTTAGTCCTCTCTACTTCTACAACTCGAACAAACCAACCAAGCTGTTCACAGAGGTTTGGAATGCCTGGCAAGGGTTAATGTTCTATATCAAAGTTGAGTACAGTCTCGCTCCCAGAAAGCACTGGTTCAGAATAATAGTGAAACGCGAAGAGGAAATGAGAATCTGCTTCATCTTTTATGCTCCTCTTCATGCTGTGCTGGTGCCATTGCTACAATCCAGTCCTTGGATTAGCAGCTACTCCCACAAGGGTGAAGATTTTCATTCCTAGTGTACATTTAAATTCAAACATTCAGAACATATCCTTTTCTAGGCTTACGTATTATTCTAAAGAAAAGTGGAAGAACTTAGGAAAAACTCACCCATTCATTACCCCTCCTAGCCATAATTCTCAGTATTATATTGCTTAATTCTTTTGGAAACACCACACTGCAAATGGAAGGTTTGGGGATTCCTTCAATTCAGTGATTTGGGCTCAGTCCAACATCTCAAGAGAATTTATTTTTATAACTACCAGAAACTGGCAAAGCATCTCTCCTTTACCACTGAAGGCTGGCTCCATCAAGCAAAGAAGTCTTCTGAACCATGTCTATGGTTTTATACTTCACATGAAGCAGCCAATTTACTGATCAGTTACACATTTTATGCTTTAATGACGCATATTTTGTGATGCCCTTTATAACAAAGGGAATTTCTGGATCTCAGTTCAGGTACTGAATTACACCAAAATCTTTTTTTCAGGGTGGTGGTGGGGCGGTAGAGGGGTTTGGAAAGGGCAGGGTAGTGAGGGAAAAGTTGTATTCACTTGGAGTTCTAACACTAATTCACTGGCCATGATTTTTCCTTAATTTTCCTTCATTCCTTCTTAGTCCTTTCCTTTCCTCTGTTCACCACCGTTACTCTCCCTTTCATAAAACAGAGAAAAGTACCCTCTTCCTTCTATCAAAAGTCAAGGAGGACAAGCTATATATACCATAACTGAAGCAAACCAAAAAGTAGCAACACTTTCGTAAGTGGGAGGAATTCAGCTGACTTAGCACACACCTGACCTTGTTGCAAGGTTTGAGGGATGCATATGTCCTTCAAACACATGCCTTAGGGACTAGAATTAGATGGGAGCTTGCCTGCCCAAAAGTGCCTTTGACCTAAAGTAGCTGGTCCATGGAGTCTATCCAAAGGTTAAGGATGTTGCTTGGGAGTCCCAACCAGCTACCCTATGAGAGCCTTAGCCCTGGGGCAAAACAGTATTCTAAAGAAAACTTCTATCAGAAGATTTAGTTGTATTGAAAAACCATCTAGTTATATGCACACATAACCTCCCTGCTTTGTAGCATACTGGGAGTTAATTTCAGCTCTTATTGTTTTGGAAGGATTCAGACATTTATGTTAGAGGAAAAAACTGAGATCTGGAAGAAGATTCCTGGGTGTGGTAGGCTTTCATTTCTCTTATGCTCCTCATTTTATGTCTGAATATAAAAGCTTCCCTAGTAGTCAAGAAGCAAGACTCCAGGAGCTTATGCTAAGATCATCTGAGCTAAGTAGTGGAGCAGTGTCTGGCTGCACATTTAATATGCTATGTTGGCCGACAGAAACAGGAATTCAGGAAAGGTGGGAAAAACCAAAGTTGTGGTTCTTACTGGTAAATTTCCAATCCTCCCTGAACTCAAGTAACTGTGAGTAATGGGAAACAGCTAGAAATGATTCACTAATTTGAAAATAATTTTTGTATAAATCCTCTGACAGTTAAAGTGGCACCACTCTGCATCAATCAAAGACAATGCTGCTGTCAGTACTCTTAGTTCCTGCTGGTGAAGGGGCTTATCTTGAGGGCTGTAGTGATCACCAGAGATAATAAGAGGGAGGAGAGGGAGGAGCAAGGGAGACACACAGAGAAAATGAATATGACTGAATAAATCTATACCTGGATACTTGCAAGCCAGTTAACAGCAAACCAAAACAATCATTGAGAGGAGAAAAGGGTTTAGCCAGTCTAGTGAAGACCAGCCTTAGAACTGATATTTAAGAAAGGCCAAGGGGAGTGGGCAGAGGGAGGGAGAGACAGAGGGAAGGAAGAAATAATAAGTCAGTAAACCAGTGCTACCTCAAGAAGGTAGGAAAATATACTTCTTGCAAAAGTGGAAGAAAAAGAATCAGGACTAAGATATAATGACCTAGCTATATTAAAAAAATGAGATGACAACCAAAGTTACTTTATCATCCTTTCTGCCATCCCAAATATATAAAAGTAAATATTTTCTCTTTTGAGCACAGATTTAAAGTAACATTGATACACTATTTTCTCCTAGAAG